TGACATTGGCTGAACTTTATCAATTATAAAATCGTCAATAACTTTATTAGCCAGTTTTCTGAAAAATATTGGCATGTGCAATATTATTAATCAATTTAGCTTGAATTTAATTGGTCTTTTTGAATGTAGTCTCCACAATTATTAAGATGTTTTTCTATCTCTTTAAAACTCTCAAAATAAAAATACTATTAGAAAAATAAAAATGATAATTACCTTTAGGTGTTTTTGAGGTTATAGCTACTATATTTATTTGAGGATATATTTTTTTACAGTCTGAACAAATAAATTTGTAGCCACCTTTTGTTTTTACATTAATTTGAAATTTTCAAATTTTGGAAATGGGAAATTTGTATTATTGTTTTCAAGAACATTCTCTTCCAGGGTACCTTCCATTTCATTAATATCATAATTGTCTGACTCACTTACATCGATTAGGATATCCATTTGCGATGACATTTTAAATAATTTACACCATATGATTTAGGTTTATAATATAAATTAAAAATATATATTACAAATTGATTTCAAAAAAGGAGCACGCTAAAAAAATAAATAATTGGAAAAAAGGTAGCGAGCTACTTTAACAAATATGGTTAAAGTATCCCATGATATTTTACTAGCTGAATGGAAATTATGGTATAAATAGTTAAATATAATTTCAAACACATATCCTAATATGTAAAAATTATTATATATTTTGCCAACTCTACCGATTACTCTTTTTAACAAGATTAAAAACTTAGAGGAGTAGTGTTGTTAAACGTCTTATTTTTAAAAATGGCTAACTCAACATTTTCACTAGAAAAATATTGCCTAAGTCTTGAGATTTCGCTATTAGATGTCCAAACCTTTGTGCCATCTATGAGTAAAATCCTCAGCTTGAGTTATATTTTATGAATAAACGTTTCAAAAATCGGCTTAAATCGAACCGTTCAGCAACACTACTGAGAAGGATTACCTATGAAAATAGATTGAATGGGTTTTAGCCCTTTTTAATATGTGTAGGGAGTTTGACACCAAGCACTGATGAAATCATTGAAATATTAGCTCATTCCCAAAGAAGATTGAATTTCACATTATAAATTTAAAATATGCTTCTTAATTATATATTTTCCCACATTTTTTAATATACCATATTTTTTTTCGTAAATACTTTGTAAGTTTAATGCAATAATTCTTAAGAATATTTTTGTTCATCAATCTATATTTCCAACGTTTTTTTTATTAATTTTATATATCAAATTTTTAATACTTAAAAAATTTATATTTTTTTTTACAAAGTTCTTTTTTGAGACATTTATTTTAGAATGATTTATACGCTAATTATATACATTTAATATTTTACCATTCATTTATATTTGAATTTGTGCATTAGAAATTGACAATATTTTATAGCCCTAATAAATTTCTGAAACATATTCTTAAATAACTCCTAGAATATTTCTGTAAAAAATAAGAATTATCCCCCCCCCCCCCATAGTTAGTTCTTGTGTACGCGCCTTAAGCATTGAATATTTGAGTGTACCAAAATGTAATTACTGATTATTACTTCTAATTCATTAACCAGATTTAGTCAATTAACAGAAATCAATAAAAACTATATTGCACGCCTTAGCCTGAGTCTTAAATATCGAATTTTAAATTACAATCGAAAAATCAAATACATTAAGGTTTATTTTTTCCCGATATAAAATTTTTTGAACCTTATGATTTTACAATCTTCATAGAGTATTTGTTTTTTTTCGATTTATTTAATAGATATAGAAGTAAAATAGTTAAGATCTCATCATATTTTGAACCAGATTCATCAAAGCTAAAAGACTGGAATTTAGGATTGGTATGGTATCTCGTTCTTTCGCTTACCTCAACTTGAGCGATGATCACCAATTCAAATCCCTCATCAGGACCTTAATTTCAACAACTCCGGCTATTAATGGCTTGATTCCTACCCCATTATCTTAAATAATCAACTAACCGATTACGACTCTTTTCAATCAACTAACAGATTACGACTCTTTTCAATATGCAATTAGTTTGAGCCTGGGCATGCAATTTTTAAACCAATAAACTTACAACAAATTAATCAGGTCGCAGACTGTATTAGATGCCATACTCCATTATAAATTCATATCAAAAATTTATCGACACAACAAAATAAATTCACTCATTGCTAACTCAGTAAGGCAAATCTCCCGTGCATTCTTGAACCCACGCTCAACATAGATAAAAAAACGCCCTGACGACTAAACTATAGTCTCATTTGTATCAGGCAAACTCTTGGTCTGGGATTTTACTTCCATAGACCCCATTGCCCCTTCTAACAATATACACGGCTCTCTTCTCAGGGCTGAGTCATTAAAATTCCATAAATATTCTTATCTGATGGGTGATAACCACTTCATTTCCATCATAGCTACATCATTACTCATTTGGGAAAGCCGAAATCCATAATGAATAAAACACATATCCTTTTTATAAAATAAAACAAAACATTGCTATCACAATAATTCGTTCCAATTATTTAATGTTTAAAAATTCTTGTCCTGAATTATTCAATTAGCATTCTCCCTTTTATGTATATGTTTTTTTAAAAAATTTAATATAATATTTGTTTTTTTCATAAAATATGTGTTATTTTAATGTAAATTTTTAATATATATTTTTTTTAAATAGAAAATGATTTCTTATAATTGGATTTAAAAAAAATGATACCCAATATTTTTTATTTAATTTATTTAAAACGAGTAATACACGACAAGTTTAATTATAATTTTTAAACTTTCAACTTGGCTAATATTACATAGTAAATAATAAACTGTCGAAATTCTTATATTTTTATTAGATAATAATGGTTTAAACAGAAATAGTCAAAAAATTGAAAAAATTTATTTGGATGCAATATAATGGTGATGAATAAATATTATATTACCTAAATTTAGTATTTTACAATAACATTATAATATTAAATTTAAAATTCGTTTTATGCATTGATATTTTGTTTTGTTTTATTGCCTCTAACTAAAGCGACCAAAACATCCTGAAATTTTGAAGATGAATTAATCAGTTTTAACGCACGTTCTGAAATGGATCTAGGCAAAATAAGAAGTGTGTATCAAAAATATGGAACTTGGAAAAAGCTATAAGAGTAACTTCTTATTACTCGTTTCAAGGGAAAATTTCATGATGTTTTGGTCGCTTTAGTTAGAGGCAATAAAACAAAAGACAAAAATATATCATTATATTCAATATCAAAATAATATAATTTAAAATCATTTTTTATTTAAAAAAAACGTATAAAAAAATTAGGAGAATGCTAAGTAATTCGGGCCAAGAATCTTTAGACATTAAATAATTGGACAGAATTATTGTGGATAGCAATGTTTTGTTTTAGTTTATAAAAAGGAGAGATAAGTGTTTTTTCCTTATTGATTTCGAAACCTTTTTGAAAAGATTCAAAGAAGCTTGCCCAAATGAGCAGGATAATGTAGCTACGATAGGGACGAAGTAGCAAGTATTGTTAAATGGCTAATTTTTAGTCAATTTTTAAAAACGGTTAACTCAGAATTTTACATAAATATTATCTAATCCACGAGATTTCGCTAATAGATGTCTAGACTTTTGTGCCGTCTATGAACAAAATCCTCAGGTTTGCGTAATATTTTTATGGGTAAAATATTGAGTTAAAAATCGGCATTATCACCCATTAGTTAAGATTTTTTTGGCATTTTAAAGACTCAGCCCTGAGAAGAGGGTCATGTATAATATTAGAAGAATCATATACGAGTAAAATCTCAGACCAAGGGTTTGCCTGATAATGAATCTCATAAGACGCAGTCTTAGGCATTATGCATGAATTTTGCCAAACTTTTGAAAGCAAATTCTAAAACTTGGGTCAATAATAATGCTAAACAAGTATTAAATATAGTTTAATACTTTAATCCCTTTGGTAAATAGTATAAATCAAAATCAAAAAATATCTAATAATTGATATCAAGATTTAAGATAGACCGAAAAATATTGAAGCACTAAAGCAATTATAATAAAAAAAATACTATCATTAATATAAAAAATCAATTTTTCATCGTATTTTAAAATATGAAACTCCTAATGTCCTATCTCATTTAAAATTATTTAAAGTGACTAATTTTAGCCAGCAGATGATAACTTAACTAATATTAATAAATCAGGGCCACGCCAAAAGTAATATTTTTTTGAAAAATTTAGTGGGCTATAGAAAATAAATTTCATTCATGTCGGGTCTGATATGTAGATCACTAATTTAGCTATATTTGTATTAATTTGGCAATAGCTATATAGAATTTATATTACCATTTTTCTTGAAAAAACCCTGAGCTTAAATGCATTATGTTTGTATGGGAGTGACATTTTATTTAGTCAAAATTAGTGTTGTTAAAAACTTTGATTTATCTGATATTTAAAAATCGGTAGAATCAAAATTTTAGCTAAACAAATATTACCTAAGCTTCTATGATTCGTTTTAATTCTATAATAATCAAATTCAATTTTATTTACTTGGACCTAAGAATACATCTCGGAATTTTTCCTATAAATTTATTCAGAATCATTAAATATAATTTGTTTTTTTTTAAAAATAAATTATATATTTTACCGTATATTGTTTTTATACCAAATTAAAATTTAGAACGTTATCAAATTTATGACTGCGGTTATCAAAGCTTTTACACATAATATAGGGAATTAGGAGTGCTATTGAAATATTTTTGATCTGGGTATGCTTACTAACACTTCTTTCCCCCTCCATAGAAACGAGGATTTTTTTTAAAAAATTTGATATTTCTATTTTCTAAACTTTATTTTTAATTTAACTAAATAATTGTCCATGCTAAAATTTAGGAGATCTTGCAAAAAAATTTGATTTTACTTAAAACTAAGATGTAAGGTTATTTGACTCTTTCATTTAATGTTACTTTATGCGATTTTAAAAATCAATAAATTATACCCTTTCATTTTATGAAAAGTTATTATTAGATTTCATAGAAAATGGTGCCTTGATTATTTGAATACGATTTTCTACATGCTTTGATTATGAATTAATTGCCATAACTTATGATATCATCTGCCCAAACAGAAAAAACATTATCAAATAATAACCTTAGTATGCCCCCTTTGTCGATTTTATCCCAAGTTCACAAAAATGATTTACATTTTCCATTTTCAGGTGCGCCCATGACTTATTTAACCGATACCATGCATAATCTAAACTATTCATTTTACCCTTTCAACAATTTTGAACGACTAAAGAATCCATTATCAATTGACAACTCATATCCAGCATCTTATCCAAATAATATTCGATACGATTCTATGAATTGTCATCTTCCAAATAACAATGAATTCCCGATGATAAAAAAATTATTAGAGTGCGATCCTTTGAAAAAACCAACCAATAAAGGGAAAAAGAGACAATTGCATAATGATGCTATACTTCTGAAAAAAAAATGCAAGGAAACAATTTCTCTTACCTCTAAACACGACTCTCTTCTCATTAACCGTAAACTAAAATCTCCTCCTTATCAACCCCCATTTTTAGATGCTAATTTAAGGGCAAAAGAATTTATCCACACTAACTCGTACCTGAGCCAATTTAACAACTATTCCAAAAATCCAGCACCTTCGCATAATTTTATGATAAATTCTTTGTTTACTAACAACATTTACCCAGTTAAACATGAATCCCAAGATGTAAACTCTAAACACCACTTCGTTAACAATATAAAATATTTTTATCCAGAAACGATGAGCAATTTTAAACATGAATTAATCACAGAAACTTGTAATCAAAATCTTGATCTTCCACATCTTAGCTACCAGAATTCAGCCTACACCCAATCATATATGATGTCAAAAGAAAACACGAATAATGTATGGGATCTGCCTGGAATTGATACCAATAATCATACTTCTGTGGCGATTCGAAATTACGCATCCCCGAATTATGATTATTTTAATGGTTATAATGACTCGGTAATTATATCCCCTTATTATAATTATTACAACAAAGTCACGCATCCCATCATAAATAACGATTATAAAAATTCTCACCTTGATTATCATCTACCGACTTTGCAAATATCTCACAAAAATTTTAACAATGATTATCCAGCTTATTTTGATAATTACTCACCCGGCCAATGCCATTTTAATAACAACGCAAGGGATATTAAACATCAAATTACTTCGGCATACACTAATTCACGTAGCATAAATCATGGCACCTCACTTGGATATCCCTATCCCTATTCGTCAAATTGCAACACGAGACAAATCCAAACTATTTACCCTGTTACGAAACCTCAACCGCAAGAAATTATATATCCTAAGCTTATTCCGGTCAATCATTCGAACTCTCAGGTCATCGAAAATGTGCCATATACTTATAATAAATCTTGTACTGTTAGTCCAAAAAGTATGGATAAATCCTATTCTTTGTCCACATCATTTCAAAAAGACAAGTTATTTGACACCAGTTTAATACGGGCTAGTCAAACCTTTCCTCAGATTTCACATGGAGATTCTTTAACAACCATGAATGAACTAAGTAATATTTTTAAGTATATTATTATTCTGATATAGTTTAATATTTATCTACCGTGCGTGTAATTAATTTCTCATGATTTAAAAATTAATATCTTTAAAAAAATACATTTAAAATACCCATAATAAGATTTATTACTCACCTACCTCACATTGTAAGCCAGGATCAATCCGATCCATTCACCGAAAGTATATTTGACCGGTCAATTATAATCAAATACTCTGAAATGCTATTTTTAATATTTTTAATTATATCATAATTATTACTATTTTAATGAACCTGTTTATCAAATAAATCACCTAAAATTTTTATATAAAAGGTTTATTTAAAGAAATTGCCCTATTTATAACTTGCCCAAAAACAGTTGACTAGACCTTTCCTAGATAAATTTTTTGAAAATATAGAAGTGAAGGTGCGGATATTATACATTAATCTTCCCATTTATTTATTGTTTCAGATGGGGGGGGGGATATTCGTAATGAAAGTATTATAAATTTTATGGTAATAATACCGGTCTTCGCATTTTATAGGTTTTTAAATATCCAGGAAAATTACCATATGGCAGAATTATATTTCCAGCAATTTAAAAATATAATTGAAGAATTAAATCTTACAAAAATATATCCTTTAGTTGCGGATAATGCGGCTAATATGAAAACTGCTTTCAGAATTTTAAAATCTAAATCATCTTTTACCCATATATTCAATTTTATGGATGTGCCACACACATACATTATGATTATTTTTCATAATCTTGAAAGAATAAAGTTATTTAATTCACATAAAAAATGAACATATACCAAGTTCTATTTTTCCGCTACAGAAATTAACATGCCATATCGTCTACTTTACGTACCATTAGTTCAACAAGGTAGGTCAATAAAATGTATGCAACAAATAAAAATTATAACTGACGAAAAACAATTTTGGATAAAAAATTTAAAGTTTTTAAAAATATCTAAACCGCTAGCTATGTCATTTTTTTGAGAATTCAAGGGGAAGGTGCATTTTGTCCAAAGTAAAAAATAAAATGTTATCTTTAGAACATATTATTCAAGTGCCAAGATCAATAATTTCTCCATCCAAAAAAAATAAATATAAATGTTTGAAATGCTGTATACTTATTAGATACCAAATATCAAGGATCACATCTCACGAATGATGAATTCAACTAAGCTTGTGATATATGACAAAAGAAATAGAAATTATTAAGTGATATATTAAATCTTGCTGTAAAAGAGGTAGGGTTGGCAAAATTTGTGATTTTTTTGATTTAAATTGCTATTTAAACCAAATACTAATATTTCATTTAGAGAAGTTACAGATTTAGATTGAAAAATATCATACAACATATTTTTCTTAACCTTAGTATAATATTTCTTTGTAAGCAAAAAGTTAATGCTTCAGGAGATCTCGTCAGGAAATTATTGAATATATATTGATAATCAAAAATATGTAGGATGTGCAAATATCGTTTAGGAAAACTAGTTTTCTTTGAATACTAATATTAAGTATATGAAAAGTTGCAATGCACTATCAAAGTTAGATATAAAAAAATCGATCTTTTAATTTTGACATCTAGATTTTGGCAAAGTTGTTAAATCATACTTTTAAAAATAGCGAGCTACCGCTATCGCTATTTGTCAAAAAAGTAGCATAAAAGATCGATCTTTTTTTAACATCTAGATTTTGGCAAAGTTGTTAAACCCTACTTTTAAAAGTAGCGCGCTACCGCTATCGCTATTTGTCAAAAAAATTAGCGCGCTATTAGCAAAAGTAGTTTTGGCTACTTTTAAGCTACTTTTTTTAAAAAAATTTTAGAAATAAATTTGTTTTATTTTTTGCTTATATTGTAATTGTATAGTATATAATACATAAAAGCATCATTTTTAAATATTTAAATTTAGTTAGTTAATATTATAAAAAAAATCTATGTTAAAAGACTCTAATGGTAATATTCATTTTTTATTTATTTTTTTTGAATTTTAGTAATAAAATCATTTCTATACTATCATCCCCAAGTCTAGAGCGACGATCAGAAAGTATAAGTTTCACCTTAATAAATAATCTCTCAACACTAATTGTACCAGGAAATAAAGTTTTTATCATAATGGTAAATGATGGATTATCAACCAATGACATTGGCTGAACTGTATCAATTATAAAATCGACAATAACTTTATCAGCCAGTTTGCATGTGCAAATTATTAATCAATTTAGCTTGAATTGAATTGGTCTTTTCTCCCCTATGCCAAAATTTTTAAGATGTTTTTCTATCTCTTTAAAACTGTTGGCATGAACATTCTTACAAAATAAAAATACTATTAGAATTTAAAAATGACTATTACTTTTAGGTGTTTTTGAGGTTATAGCTATTAGATTTATTTGAGGATATATTTTTTTTACTGTTTGAACAGTCAAATTTGTAGCCACCTTTTTTTAACATTAATTTGAAAATATTTTTAAATTTTGGAAATGGAAAATTTGTATTGTTATCAAGAACATTTTCTTCCATTCCATTTCATTAATATCATAATTGTCTGACTAACTTACATCGATTTGAATATCCATTTGCGATGACATTTTAAATAATTTACACCAGATGATTTAGTTTATAATACAAAGTGAAAATATAAATTAGAAATTGAAAGTATAAATTTCAAAATTAAATAAAAAAATTATAAAAATTCTGAATATTTAAATTTATTTATTTTATTTTTAAAAAGTAATAAATAATTGTAAAAAAGTAGTGGGCTATTAGCTATAACAACCAAATATGATAGCGAGCTACTTTAACAATGGATTTTGGAAGATATCATGATAATTCTCGTAAAATTTAAAAAAAAAACAAATAGAAAATATTATTTTTTAAATTGCATTTGTATTATTCTAATTATAGATTAATATAATTTAGTATTTTTCTTATAAAAATTATTCAATTCTAAAATAATCTAGTCTTTCCTCATATTAAGTATTTTGATCTTAAATAGAATTTTATTTAAATTATTGATTTAAATCAAATTGAATTTTATTTGCCAACCCTAAAAAGCTGAATCTTTGTTAAATAAAATATGTGAAATGCGGTAGACTCCATAACCATTAATCAGATTTGTATCAAACTTGAGGGACTTTGTCCACCATGGAAATAGCAAATACCTTAATGATCCTTCCAAGTTCAACTTCTTCGGAAAGAAATGTCCGTCTGGGGTTATATTCATATAAATAACTGAAATAGATTGAAAATTTGACCACGGGAAAATTAGTTAGGGTTTATCATAGTTTACGATTAATTAAAAACATAAAAGAAAATGATTATTCAATTGATCCAGAAAAAAACTTTATCACAGAGTGAAAACGAAACAGTATTTCAAGATTGAATCAAATTACCAAATTTAATCATGCATTTATTTATGAATATTTTGCATATTTGTTATTTTACATATCATATACCTAATAAAGCGAATACTGTAATAAAAACATTGAATTTAACCTGTCAAATATCGGGACCGAACCTAAACTTTGACTTGAAAAATTATTTTTATTTGATCTGTCAACCCTGATTAAAAAGAAAACATTTAATATTATATTGCTCTTCTATGAGCACAGATAGAACAGATTATGTTAATAACATGTTGCGATATTAAACTAACTATATTTTGCTCTGACCTATTCTATTTAATCAATTTAAGAAATTGGTTTTAATATATATACAAAATAATTTGCTATTTTTTAAATGACATGAGGTAAACGTCCCGATTGAGGGACACATGATACCTGATAACCTCTTGAAAAACCTATCGCAAATAATTTTAGTTAATTTAAAAATATATATTATATAAAGGAATGAATATAATGTAAGAATCAGCCGATTTAAAATGATATAATCGGCGCCGATTCCATTCATTTCTATTTCAAAGCATTTGACAAATAAAATTGTCAACATATTTCAATTTCTCCAACACATTACTCTACACCTTAAAATACCAAGCTGCACGATACTTGGTATCAATACGATACTCTATCAGTATCTGTCTTGGTTAATACCTGCAATTTTAATCGATATAATGGTAATTCAAATACTTTTTGTCCCATATGAATTTATAAAATAATTCATATACAAATATCTAAACCGTTGAAAGAAAGATGCTTTTAATTTTTTTCCCCTATTTTTCTTTTTAATTTAATTTAATTTATAAAATATTTCCTAAGTTAATTATAAATGATAAATAAATGATAATATTGACAAATTATATTTTTGCTTCTTTTTGATAAATAATTTACAATATTATTTTTTGTTATCAGTTATCGGCAGCGTCTACCACTGCAGGAGTAAGAGGATCAGAAATAAAATTCCAAAGAGGTAGGGGGTAAGACGTAAAATCACATAATTAAAATTCTCGTGGGATATGAAATTTTGGATTATGGAGCCCCCATTTTTCATAGGGGATAATTTAGATATTTATAATGCTAAATATTTACTATTTACATATATCGATGCAACGACATCATTTTTTTTATGATATGCACGTTAAATTATTATAAATGTTGATTTATTTTTTTTAAGGTAAGTTAATCATAGTTATTTAGACCGTTCCGGAAACGCAGAGTTGTTAATCACTACTTTTAAAAGTAGCGCGCTACCTCTATCGATTTTGTCAAAATATTAGCGCGCTACCGCTATCGCTATTTGTCAAAAAAAGTAGCTCGCTATTAGCTAAGCTAATTTTTATAAAAAAAATTTAGAAACAAATTTGTTTTATTTTTTGCTTATAATGTTATTGTATAGTAAATATATAAAAATCAACATTTATAAATATTAAAATATAGTTAGTTTTGATTATAAAAAAATTTATGTAATAAAATATTTTTGGTAATTTGTTGCATTTTATAAGTTTTTACCTAGTGTTATGTGTCCAACTATCTGCCGTGGTACATATATATGATATCTCTGATAACTCTTCTATTAGAGCATCTTACATCACTTTAAAGTTATCTGCTATTTT